GAGGAGCATGACCAGTCTGGAAAAGAAATTATTCGCTTCGGCTGCACCCCAAATTTTAGTGATACCCAGCAAGAAAGCACTTTCAAATCGCAGGTCAAGCTTTGCAGAGGAGGGAGAGGAGCTGTGCTTATTTCTAAGGAAAGGAAAAAGAGTTCGCGGAATTCTGCAGCTCCCCAGAGCCAGGGCAGCCCCTCCGCAGGGCACGGGGCTGTGGAGTCGGGGGACCCCGCCGGGAGCGAGGCCTGGCGGGCCGGCAGATGCAGGGACAGCGGGAGCGGCCAGGCCCGAGCTGGGGGGTGAGAGAACGGGGACAGCCCTCACGTACCTGAGCGAGGCGTCAGGGCCCGGCAGCCTCGGCCAACACCATCCCCGGCGCCGGCCCAGGGCAGCGGCGGCAGCAGCGGCGGCAGCAGCAGCAGCAGCGGCAGCTCCTCCTTCCTCCTCTTCCTCCTCCTCCCTCAGCCGAGATCTCGCGAGAGCCCAGGCGGGGCAGGGCAGTGCCCCCGCCAGGATCTCGCGAGAGTTTGGCGGGGCGGTGGGGAGGCCGTTAGCCGCCGGGAGGGCGGCGCCATGTTGGGGCTGCCACTGAGGGGCGCCTCAGGCAGCGCCGCCATATTGGGGCGCTCCCTCTGGGGTGCCGTAGTGCCTGAGGGAAGCTGATATCGTTGGAATTAGCTGTCCCCAGGCCGAATTTTATCACTTTTTGTAAAGGAAATCACAGAATCCTTAAGGTTAGGAAAGATCTCTGAGGTCACCGAGTCCAACCTTTGACGGATCTTCATCGTCACTGAGTGCCCCGTCCTTGAACACCTCGTCGTTCCTCGTATAAGGAACAAGTCATTCCTTAAACACCCCCACCACCTTCCTGGCGAGCCGTTTCCAATAAATTCCATTTTTTCCCGTCCCCTCACACTGCTGTGGAAAGGGAGGCGATTCAGCCGCAATATAAATTAATGCTTTAGAGTCTATGGCAAATAGGAACACGCCAAGAGGGAGAAAAAGCAGTGATTGTGTTAAAAACGCCGATCACTTGTTTTTAAAATTTTTAAAGTTTAACAGTAATAAAATGGTTATAAAAATAGTGATACAATTAGAGTAATAATAATTTGGACAGTTTGAATTAGGACAATGTGAGACATTAGAAACAAAGAGTTACAGACGTCCAGGTACCTTTTTCTGGGCAGCATAAGCCCAAAAAGGGACTCATGTTAACAGAGGATTAACCCTTAAAAACAATAGCCTGTTGCATATTCATACATCTCAGACATGATGCATAAATTCCATTCAAACACAGGATTCTGTCTGTGCAGTGTCAACTTCTTCCTCATAAGCTTTCTTCTGATAATGGGGCAATAAATTCTCTTTCTCTGAAAGATTCGGGTGTCCTGTGGCTGCTATCTCAGTGCGAGTCCTCTCTTTTAGAAAAAAAGTATCCTACGTAGCATAGTTTCTATTTTAACATTTTGTTATAACCTAAAACTGTATTTAACAACACTACTTAAGAGAATTAATACAGCATTACTTTCTAACACAACACATATAATATTCATTTGAATATTTGTGAAAGGCCAGTCATAAAATACGCATTTTTCACAGATTTTCAGGGGGACTTCAGGAGCACAGCTTAGCCAGGCTGCAGCGTTTGCCTTGATTAAGGCAAATCTACTATTAATTAAATTAAATTAATCTACTAATCTACCGAAATTAATCTACTATTTCTACATTCCAGCAGCAGATGAGTGGAAGACAAGTGAATCAGCTGGAATAGTCAATCAATATGTCTATAAGATCAATATGCAAGAATCAATTGTAAGAAAAATGACTCACTATTTAAAATATTTATAAAAGTTTATTAAGTTATAAAAGGGATAAAATCCAGTGCTGGGGTGTTTGGTGATTTGCCAAAATAAAAAAATAAATAAAAACTTAAACCATGCTCTCTATATACTGTTACATTAGAGGGGGTACATGCATATTCATAAGAGTTTATACATATTCAAACATTCCTTTGAGTTTAGATGTTCCTTTGCTTGGTTTTAACCTATGACTTGTATTCATGCTATCTTGTAGATTAAACTAATATATTTTATTTCTTCTTGTGGTTCCATTCTGTTGTATTTTCACTCCCTGATAATGAGGGTTAATAAATTCTTTTACTTGGTGCTCCGGTTTCTGTTTCTGTTATCTTGTCTTTCAGATAAGATAGTCCCTAATGTGGGAAATTACTTAATTATTTTACACTATTTTCTGAGTTAGTTACATGTAGAAGCATTTTAACATTTCACAGTCTATTATGCTACAGTCTAAGATAGTATATATTACACTACTATTTATAAAAGCTATACATAAACTGACAGATTATACTACATGAAAAGGAGTAATTACAAATTGTACTATATCAGGATTTTTGTGATCAATAATAACTTGCAAAAGCTAATACATAAATGTGAAAGCCAATAACTATATTTGTTATTTATAACATCAATCAAATAGAAATATCAATCATATAGAAGCACAAGTCCACCAGATAGAATCTGTGTAAAAAATTATTGTTAAGAGTGCATTTAGTAACAGAGAGTGAATACTTGGGTATCATAACTAGACTGCCCAAAAACTTAAGAAATTTTCATAGTTCTGTTAAATCATCTGTAAAACAGGTGCATATACTTAAGCGATTCCACTAAATAAGGGAACCAAAACTTAGCCATGAAAGCTGCACCCAGGTCAGAAGGCAGACCTGGAAACATGGAAAGTTTGGCAGACAGCTACAGAAATAAATACTGCATCCTAAACATTCACTGCAGTGATACCACTGCCCCTTGCCAAAACCAAACTGGCACTGAGCTTACTGAAATCTGCTTAAACCAGCACAGAACTGCTGCTTAGAGCCCTTTCTTCCCTCCTTGGGCTTTTCCCTCCAGATCCATGTATCATTTGGATAACCCAGCACAGCAGCTTTGGACAGAAACGTCCTAGAAACATCCTCCTCCCACCGATGCTGGCTGTAGGTAGGGATTCCCGGAGAGGGATTTCTCACAAGCCTTCAGAAGCCAGGGGTGAAATTGGGAGCAGGGCCAGGAGATTGTGGCCGCATTTCTTTTCACAGAGAAAAGCAAGGCGCAACTTTCTAAGGATATTTTCTGGGAATTAAAGCCAGGAACCTCAGGAAAAAGAAAAAACAATTCTTAGGTCATTTGCAGGGCCTGTGTTGTGCCAAAGTGGAATGCATAGTGGAAGATTGTTTACCTGAAGGCAGTTGGGGATTGGATTCTGGTGTGAGTGTTTGGATTCATTGGCCAAGTGAATCCATGCGTGTGTGTCGGGACTGCTGGCTGACAGTCCCAAGATTCTGGGCAGTTGAGGTGAGTGCTTGGCAGATTCAGTTTAGATGTAATGTAATATAGGGTAATATAATATAGAATAATATAGTATAATAAAGTAATTCATTACCCTTATGATAGCAATGGAGTCCTCCTTGCTTTCCGATAGGAGGTGGGGTCCCAAAGGAGCTATTGGTGGCATCTGCCTGCTGGGAGCCCGAGGTCAGAGAGCAGAGCATTCCTGCAGCCCGGCTTTTGGGGACAACGAGCTGAGCCCCGCCGCAGCCGAACCCCGCATTCCATGGGGAATTCCAGCCGCGCCCTCGGGGCTCTCCCCGCGCTTGGGAGGCGCTGGCCCGAGGGCGTTTCCCTCCGGATGGGTTTTCATTGCCCCGGGCGCTGCTCCTGGCATTCGGTGGCAGCACGCGAGCAGCGCCTGGGGCGCGGCCGAGTGACAGAAGCTGTGAAAGCTCTCCAGAAAACCCAACTTCCAGGCTTCTTTTCCTCTCCCCACCCTCAGATTAAACGCAACGAGGTTCCTTTCGGGCAATGTCCTTGCAAGGATGTGCTGTGGTATTGCAGAAAAGCATACTAAATGTGAAAAACGCCAATCACTTGTTTTTAAAATTTTTAAAGTTGAATAGTAATAAAATGGTTATAAGAATAGTAATTCAATTAGAGTAATAATAATTTGGACAATTTGAATTAGGACAATATGAGACAATAAAGAGTTACATACATCCGGGTAACTTTTTCTGGGCAAAATAAGCCCGGAAAAGGACACCTGTTAACAAAGGATTAACCCCTAAAAACAATAGCCTGTTGCATATTCATACACCTCATCCATGATGCATAAATTCTGTTCAAATACAGAATTCTGTCTGGTCAGTGTCAACTTTTTCCTCTGAATCCTAACAGTGCCTTCGAGGCGGGAAGAAGTTAGTTTCTTCTGATAATGGGGCAATAAATTCTTTTTCTCTGAAAGATTCAGGTGTCCTGTGGCTGCTATCTCGCTGCAAGTCCTTTCTTTAAAAAAAGTATCTACATACTACTATGCTACTACATAGCATAGTTTCTATTTTAACATTTTTTATAACCTAAAACTATATTTAACACACTGCTTAAGAGAATTAATACAGAATCACTTTCTAACAGAACACATTTAATATTCATTTTAATATTTGTGAAAAGCCAATCATAAAATATGCATTTTTCACACTAAAAATACATGGTGGCAGTTTATCTGCTTATGGTAGTTTTGTTAACTAATTCAGTTTTCATATTAAATAGCACATAAGAAAATAACTTACACAGGCAAGTATGCAGAATATACTCTTTAATAAATAGCAGGTAAAAAAATAGATCTCCTTAAAAACATTTTAAGAACCAGAAAAACAAAGGTACCTTATAAAATACGCATATTCACGTTCTTTCGGGAAGGGCATTATCCCGAGGCGATAATTTAAAAGACCGTAAAAAATAGCATAAAATAAAATAAAGAAAAAAAATTGTTTCCTCAGCTCGCATAAGTGAGAAGAAGGGTTAAATAGGTGAAATAGGTTAATTAGGAAGTAACAGCGCAGTGCAGTCGTTTTTCCCCGGTTCTGGGGGCGTCCCTGAGAGGCGGTGCCGCGGGTCCGAGGGCACTTGAGCCCATCAGCACCTGAGCCTTTCATCACTTCAGCACTTGTCCTGCAGGGCAGCGCAGCGCAGGTTGTCCAGCACCTGCAGGACGTGCAGGATGGTGGTGGCCCTGAGGCACTCCGTGCTCTCCTGCGGGGCGAGATGGGCTGGGTCAGCTCTGCAGAGGCGGCTTTTGACACCCCAAAAGTCTGCAGAACCCCGCCGGCCCGACTTACCGCTCGCATGGCGTTGTGCAGCTTGTGCAGCCAGTGCCTCAGCCTGCCCGAGGGCTGGTGCGAAGGATCCACCTGCAAGGAGAGCGGCTGGGTCAGCAGCGGCCCCACAGCTCAGAGCCGGCCGGGCAGGGCTCGGGGGAGGCACTCACACAGCCCTGCACGGCCTCCCGGGCGGTCCTGAAGAAGTGCAGGGGCTCCCGGCACAGCTCGGCAAAGCCGGGGGCAGCGGGCAGCCCCAGCATGGCAGTGGTGAGGTTCAGCTCGGCCGCCACCAGCAGCACTCGGTCGGACATCTGTGGGGGGAGAGTCCTGGTTAGGCACCCGGAGCTGCAGGGCTGGAGGATGGGGGTCTCGCAGACCTGCCCGGGGCTGCGGGTGGAGGTGGAAGCGGCGGACGGGAGAGCTGTGCCCCCTTACAGCATCACCGCGCTCTTACCGGCAGGTTCACTGCGTTCCATTTCCGGTGGAAGAGCTTGGTGTTGCATTTGTGGGTGGTCACCTGCAGGTATAAACCAAGAGAGAGACTTAAAAACTCTCATCGTGACTTCTGGCTATGTTGGACCACCCTGGACAGCCTTGAGGGCTCTGAAACCAGGACGAAAATTGGCCGAGCATCCTTCATGTCCCCAAACACCCTTAGAACACATCTTGCTCATCCCCAAACTGCTGCAGAAAACATGCACCTTGTCACTCAGGTCTTGAGTTCAGCATCCCCTCTGCCTTGCCCCCTGCCAGCCCCCACCCCCCTGTTGCCAGCAGTACTCACAAACTCTTGTCTCATCCTGTCCACAGCATGCCGCTGCTCGGGTGCAATGCTCTGGTACTGGGACAGCCTGCAGCCCTTCCCCAGGGTGTCATGGGGAAAGGCAGCCCCCAGGCTGACCCCCAGCACCAGCACGAGCAGTGGGGTGAGGCCGAGGTGCAACATTTTGGCAAGGAAAGCTTGACAGCCGGCGATGGAGTACGGTGGGGTGAGGAGGCTGCGGTGCAGGATGCCAGAGAGGATGAACCGCAGGACTCCGGGCAGGATCCGCTGAATTTCAGATGCAGAGGTGCCTGACAGGGACTCCAGGTGGCTTGTTCAGAGCTGCTGAGCTGCTGCGTGTCCCGGGGAGCTGCTTTGCCTTGCTTGCTGTGGCTGCCTTGCTGCTCCATCTCCAGCTTTTTATTCCTGCCTGGTGCTTTCATCTTTGCAGGAAAACCCAGGGCTGGTACAGCTGGAAACAAGAAAATGAAAGTGGTGCAGGGAATCTCCCCTCCTCCCTGTTACCTGCCGGGCTGCCTCCAGCCCTGCCTGCTCCACCTCAGCCCACGATGCTGGGGAATGCAGGGGCTGGGGATGGCAAGTTGGGGTACACCAGCATGACCCAGCCCCACCCTGAGCTGAAAGCTGTGGGAAACACCTGGGGACAACAGGTTCACAGGGACCAGGAGGGTTTTGGTGCCTCCTGAGTGGCAGCAGGAGTTCAGGTCTCAGCTTCTCTGTAGGAAAGGCCGTGGTGGGTTGGGACCATAAGCAGCAGACAGGAGTGGGCACTGCACTGTCCAGGCTGCAGGTGTGAGCTTTTATGGCTGTGTTATCTGAGGGACAAGGTTCACCACCACAGCAAGGGAAAAGGTGAAGCACTTCCACCTGAAGTTTTCCAGATAGGACACAGTTGTGGAGGAAGATGAAGATGAGCAGGGCTGCCACTGGAGCTGGCTGGGGTTTCCTCCCTGTTCAGCCTGGAGACACAAATAGGGTGTATGGACATCCCTCTGCTGACAGCTGGAATCTGCCTCTCAGCAAACTGTCCCTCCATCAAGGGAACCTCCTGTGGTCACTGCTGAGCTTTTAGTCTCATGAGTTCATCAAGCATTAAATATAAAAAATTAGGGCAATGCCTGGATCTAAGAAGCAGGGACAGTAAGAAAGTAAAAGGCATAAATGCACTTGGCAGGGCCTTGCACGATGACCACAGAACACTCTAGGAGGACCCAATTTTTAATGTTCATATTTGGAACCAATGTGCTGATTTTAAAGAGTGCAAGCAAAGGAGAAAAGTTCTGGAAGCATGTGGAAAGGTACACCTGAGGGTGAGCAGAGTGGCATGGATGTGGTCATGGGCTGGGACCTCTCAACACCATCCAGTCCAACCCTTGCTGTGGCAGGATCAGCTGGCACAGGCTGCCCAGGACAGTGGAGAAGGATGGAGCAGACACTTCACAGTCTCTGTTTTTCTTGTGTTCAGATGGACTTTCCCTGGTTCAGCTTGTGCTGTGCTCTCACACCACCATGAGCCCTGAGCCTTTCCTCATAGCACAGATGTTCCTGTGCATCACCTTCATGACCTTGATTGGACTCCTCCAGTCCCTGCCATGTCTCTCTCCCACTGAGGAGCCCAAAACTGGACCCAGCACTTCAGGAATGGCCTCACCAGCACTGAGGAGAGGGGAGGAATCACCTTCCTCAGCCTTCTGCCAACACTCCTCCCAGTGCAGCCCTGGATACCATTCACCTTCTTCCCACCAGGACATTTTCCTGGCCCATGTTCAATTAGTGAAGAGGTCAAGCAGGACCTGCTGTTGACTCACATGGTCCATCCAGCCCTTCTTGAGCCTTTCCCCTGCTCTAGCAGCATCCCAGAGGGCTCAGATTTTTCCTGGAAAACCATGATGGAGATGAAGAATGGGATGGGGCAGCATGGATTGGACAGTGGCTCGTTCCACTTTGTCCAAACTGGATGCAGACACAGCTTGGAGAAGAGCTAGGACAGCAGAACATGGTGCTAAAGCCCCCAGAGCGTGGTGGGCACAGGTTTTCCAGTCATGGATGTGGCCACTGGATCAGGCTCCCAGCCAGCCTCCCTCACAGCAGCAGGTTAGGGGAGGTCAGTCATTAAAGCCTGAGCCCTGGTGTGGGCTGGGGTCCCTTGTCTGCCCTTCTGGGGAACAGGACAATGGCTCTGTCCTTCCTTTCTCTCCCATTAAAGAAACCCACAGAAGGTTAATTTTTATTCAACACAACAAAGTTCATGATCAGTGTAGCTGTGAAATAGTTCAAACCAGCATAAATAAGACCACTTCTGTCATCCAAACAAGCACAGCTCAGCTGGAATAGAGGGCACTTTGGCAGAAAATCCCAACAGATGGAAAATAAATGTGGCCCCCATGAGAGAGAGGTGATCCACCACCAACCACGGTCCCACATCACTGATCTGTGCTGAGACACTTTCGGGTCACCCGTGGGGTCACAGAGCAGCATCACATCCTCGTGGGACAGCTTGGGCTCCTGTTTCCCACGGCTGTGGCTTTTCTCTCCCAGGTGTCGTTTCTGTTTGGAGAAGTAAAGCGAAACCTCCTCTCTTCACACATGCAGAAGGAAATTCAGAGGCACCAAAGAGAAGCTAAAGCTGTGGGGTGAAGCCAGGCCATGAGCATGGCCCCTGGCACCCATGGCGGCTGGGATGGAGGGTTGAGGATCACCTTGCTCAGATATTTGTGCCACCCCCAGCCACAGTTGAGCCCCCAGGGACATGGCTCTGAGCAGCTCTGAGGGCTTTTTCTTCATGGGATGAAGCCCATCCTGGGCTTTGGTGCGTGTCTTGCCCGGCAATGTCACGCTCCACCATGGCCCAGCCAAGCATGGCTGCATTCCCCACAGCGCCTCCAAACTGTGCCAGGACCAGCTCCTGCCCTGGAGTGGAGAGTTCCCCAAAGCCAGCACAGGCTGGGGACATCACACCATGCCCAACAGTCTGCAGAGCACTGGGGACCCACCACAATCATTGTTCCAATCCCAGTGAAGCCCTGTGAAGGCTGGTCTAGAACAGAGGCTGGGCAGAGTTAAAGAATAAAGGAGGGATTTATTAAAAGGCTTCAATGGATCCACCTTGGGCAGCACAAGAGCCCAGCCAGGGCTGCACCCAAGATGAACCAAAATGGTCACAAAATGAACAACTGGTCACGGGGTCTCTCACTTTTATAAGTTCTGCTCCATTTGCATATTGGAGCTAATTGTCCAATTCCAGCTTTAGCCCATGCAGTCCCATCCTTCTTGTTTTTCTCTCTTGGGTCCACAGTTGTTTGTGCTCTTGGGCCTGAGATTTGGATCATTTGTCCTTGGTCCCCAGCTGGAGAAGGAATTGTTTTGTCTCCTTGCTCTGTGAAGAGAGCTCACCATCCCCTAATATGAAGCTCAGAGCTACACACCAGAGCAGCACAGAATCTGAAAAATATAAAAGCTCAGACCTGAGGCATCACCAGCTGCCAATGGTGCTGTTCCAGGAGAGCAGCAGATGGTGATGATGGAGGCCCTTCATTGAGAGGCTGGAGCCACTCAAGCTTGCTTGGAGTGAGAAATCCCAGGTGTGGGATTTCCAGGTAGGAGAACAAAAGTGAAACCTGACTGTGGCCAGGGCTGGCGTCAGCAGCAGGTGAGGCAATCGCTCCGTGGTGACTCACAGGTTCCTGCATGGCACCAGCATAGCAAAGGTGCTCACCACTGGGTAAGGATGAGCCCAGGTGGGCTCCTGACCCCAGTGGGCCAGTCTGGGAGGAAGTGACTCCTGCTAGACTAGTCTGGGCAGAGAAGATAGAAAGGACAGAAAGTGTGCCCCAAACAAGCCAGGTTTAAAAATAACCCCCTGGATGAAGTGTGGGAGCCCTGCCCACAGGCATCATGTGGGCTCTGCTCATCAGCCATCCCCAGGCCTGTGCCTGCCAGCCCAGGGTGTGGTGCCACCAAAGTGCCCCCCCCAGCACCTGCACTGGCTGGTGCTGCTCTGCTGATGCAATCCCTGCTGTTACCTCATGGCTGGGCACCTGCTGCATCATGCTGCTGCAGGGAGGGAAGGGCTTTAAATTAAATCACAGCTGTAATTAACAAGCAGACTTCAACTTGTTGTAAATTTAAAGTGAGGAAAAAATCCAAACACTTGTTCCCCAGAGCCTTTCTGCCAGCACTGTAGGGACATGGGATGTCACCTCCTGCAGGACCCCTCCCTGCCCTGGAATGTCTGCAGGGATGCACCTCACAGGGACAAGCCCTGCCAGCAGAGCAGGCCCTGGGCATGGCAGCAGGGGTGCCACCAGTGCCAGCCCGGGCAGGAGAGACCCCTGGCACTCACCCAGCAAGGGAGGCCTGAGAGCTGCTGCTGGCCCCAAGCCAAGCTGCACCTGGAGCAGCCCCTCAGGCAGTGACATCAGGGCCTGATCCAGTATTGCTGCCCCAGCACCTGGCTGTGGACACAGAGAGCAGCCTCCCATCCATCATGGGCTTCCTACACCATAGCTGTCCTCCTGAGACCCCATCACCCCCCTGGGGGACCAAATGGGGGCAAAGCCTTTGCCCCCCACCCTGAGCAAGCTGAGAGCAGGACCCTGTGAGCCCAGGACCTCAGCAGAAGCACCTCCAGCCCCTCTCAGCCCCCTCTGGGGCTGGGAGCAGAGGTGGCACTTCACCTTTTTTAATAATGCACTGATGTAGAAGAGAGAGAGCACAGCCCTTCCCATGGTGTCAGGGAAGCTTTCTTGTCAAGGACAGGAATTACAGGAAAGGGAAACATCCCTGCAGAGGGTGGGTCTGGACTTGAAATATCCAGAAGGCAAACAGGAGGAGACCTGTGCCAGGCTATACCCAGCTTTGAGCCCTCATGTCTCTCCTTGCCCCTCCCGAAAAATGCAGCCTCTAATCTTCCCTTTGCAGCGTGGGTGGGTGATAGGGCACAAACCTGCTCTCCCTTCAGCAGTGATCCCACAGAGGCTCCTGAGCTGTTCTGAGGGGCCTCACTAGGGCCAAGGCACTCCTGGGGCAGGTAAGGTGCTGATACCTGCTGATACCAGGGATGGGGGCACACTGTGGTTGAGAGCAGCCCCTGTCCAGGGCAGCCCCCAAAGACAGTGCACAGCTCCTCACTTAGCCAGGGCAGGGAATGGCCTTCCTACCCAAAACCCACCCTCCCCACAGAGCAGAGGGGCACTGAGAGCATCAGGACACTCAATGTCAATGTAGCAGAGTTATTCCCACACCAGTGAGTGCTCCACAGCCTCTCTGTAAAACAGGAACCACAGGCAACATTTTCTCAGCTGGCTTTTTAATTATTATTAATTGTGTAAGAAATGCAGTGAGTTTCAATTGAGTAAGACATTGAACAGTGAGTTTCTCAGCTGTTCCTGTGATTCTCTTCCCCATGTTATTAAACCATCAACCCACAAGGGGACACTCCCAGTGCTGAGGGAGCAGCGCTGGGCAGACAGCAGGACCAAGGAAGCTGAGGGGCACAAAACCCCATCTGCTTTCCACAGGAGACCAACATTTCAATCAGCAAAATCAGCAGGAATCCTCCCAAGGAATAAGAGCAGTTACAAGCAGGATTTTAGGAGACAATCCACCTTCCCCTTCCATGGTAGCTGCAGATCAGGAGAAGGGTTTGCTCTCTCAGCACCCCTTGCACCCCAGCACACAGACGTGCCTCACCAAGAACTCCACCGGGGTCTCACGAGAGGAAACTCCCATTGTCTCCAGCATCCTGAAAGGACAAGCACAGGAAGGCTCTCACCTGCCCAGACTGCTCCCACCTGACATGGGGCAGCAGCCAGAGACAGATCCCTTCCACCCACAGCACACAGGGGGGATGGCAAATGCTTCAGCTGCTGCACAAGGGTTGTTCTGGTCAGGGAATAAATGAGCAGCACCCTTTCCCCTTGTTGGGGCTGAAACAGATGGGTGAATGTTGGAATAAAAGCCTCTCTGAGTTCTTCAGAGAGAAAGATGAATGCAGGGGCTGAATTAAAGCCTTTAGAGAAATTAAGCTATATTAAACCACATAGATATGAAGTAGAAGAGTATTTTTAAGTAAATAGAAGTGTGAGTTATAGTTTTGAGTAAGTTTAAGCTTTAGGTTTTAAGTGAGTAGAAATACATTTTAAGTGCCTTAAGAAACTGTATTAGCTAGCAAAGGCTCTAAGGCCTAGTTTAAAGCTCAGCAACTTAGCCCTGGACATAACAAAACCATAGAACAGAATTGCCACTAGAATAGATAGAATTATTCACATAAAACAGATAAAACTACATACGTAAATAGACAGAACTATTCACATAGATAAATTTTCAAGTAAGAAAACAGATAGTACATTTGCATAAATAGCTAATATTATATACATAGTTGTTAAAGAAATTACGCTACTTTTGTACTACTCCAGCACATTAGAATCACGCTTAGATTGGTTTAGAAAGAATGTTTTAGAATCGTGTTTTTAGTTGATTGGATGTTTTGTGAATAAAAAGTCCCGGTAAGGGGGTGCAAAACACAACATTAACAACCACCACAACCACAACAGAAGAAGAAGAAGAAAACAGAAGAAGAAAAGAAAGAGGAAAAAGAAGACTGTGGTCCCTGTTGCTGCTCAGAACATCAGAGCAGCTCATCCCTGCTGATGCTGCTCAGGACATTGGACCCTGTGCCAGGGAACAACTGTTGTTGCTGCACAGAACCTGGGATTATGCCAGAGAACAGCCTTGCAGCTGCTGCTCTTGCTTGGGACTCTGAGCCAGAAAGCTTCTAGCACTGACTTTAACACCTTGACCTCTTTGCCTTGGAGACTGATGTATTCATGCAATAAAGAACCTCAGAGCAGCCCCCAACTGCTCGTGTCTCTGAAGACCCTAAACCCACTAAAGCTCGACAGGTGAAGATGCAACCACCAATACTTTTCAAGCCCTTTGCCAATTAAAAGCAAAGTAAAGAAACTCAGGATAGTCTCGTGTCAGAGGTTTCATGGATACATTGCTGCATCCTACTGATAGACAGATCCTACTGCTAGACAGGCTTAAAATCTAAGGATCTGCTGTTGAACCCCTGACAAGTGTCCACTCCTGGAGGAAGGGAGGAAGCACATCCCTGCACACTCCCCTGCAGCTTTGGAGGGGTCTGCACAACCTCCCTCTGCATGCATTGTACAAGACAGATCCTCCACACCCTGCTTGTTTTCCCAAGAGGTTTTCTCACCTCTTTTCAGTCTCTTGGAGGAGGGATGTTGCAGCTGTAGGGTCATTCTTCTTAAAGGTTTGATATGAAGAGGTGGACTCCATGTAACCAACCACACCCTCAACAGTCATGGGAATTGGGTCATAGATATCAGTGATTCTGCAAGAGACATGGGCAAGAAAGGAGCATTGGCAAGTTAAATCTCAAAGGCAGTGGAACACGGACCACAGGTTGACATGGTAATAAATATAAATAAATAAAATATCTGACACCATCAAAGGTGGTTCTGCTCACCTCTTCTTGTCTGGGAATGGCAAGGCCTCAAAGATTGCTTTGTAGTCATCCAAGACATATTTTACTTTATCATTTGAGTATTTTAAAATCTCATCCCAGCACTGTAAAGACAAGTGTATTAAAAACAAACACAAAACCACTTGAAGTTCCCAGATGCCACTTAACTTAGGTTTGGGCCTGCATGTAATACATTCATATATGTCCTTTTTTTTTAAATACTTGTTACATTAAAATACACCAAAATCTTGCTTAATGTCAAGAATTCAAGGATCCTGGTTCTAGAAATAAGGCTCCTGTCCTCCCTACATAGCTCTTACTCATAGTGGAAAGTCTCCTTTTATCCAATTGTAAAACACCCTTTGTCCAGAAAGATTCCTAAAAAAAGGCCTTCTTCCCAACAGTTTCTACTTCCCATTCTTTTCACTGTGATCAGGGCAACAGGAAAAGTCTCCTGGACAATACCAGCTCCCAGATCTGCCCTGGCACCCTTCTCACTCCCACTAGATCTGCCCTATCAGTCCTCACATCCCTCTCCTCATGATCCAGGCAGCCCAGTGTGGAAACCTCTAAATCCCTGCATTGAGCCCATTCTGCATTAGGATTCCTATCATCACACCCCCTCAATCCCACTCCTCCCTCTCTGCCTTGGGATTCATGTTCTCTGAACCTGAGAGAAGCAGAAAAAAAATATGATCAAAACAATTCTTATCTCATTTGTTGCACCTGTGTTGTGCCAAAGTAGAATGCATTGTGGAAGATTGTTTACCCAGTGATGGTGTTTTGTTTCCTTGGCCTATCAGGGCCAAAAAGGACTGGGGGACTGTCACGGACATATTTTATGAAAAATCCTTTTGTTAGGATCTTTTCTCCTGAGAAGCTGAGAGGCCTCAGAAGCAAAATGTACACAATGGTTATCTGCTGCTGTGGAATGCAACAGGTGCATCTTTGATTGGTCTCATGTGGTTGTTTTTAATTAATGGCCAATCACAATCCAGCTGGCTCAGACTCTCTGGTCAGTCAAGATTTTCTTATCATTCCATTCTTTTTCCTTTCCTTTCAAGCCTTCTGATGAAATCCTTTCTTCTATTCTTTTAGTACAGTTCTAATATAATATATATCATAAAATAATAAATCAGCCTTCTGAAACATGGAGTCAACATTCTCATCTCTTCCCTTGTCCTGTGAACATCACCAGAGGGGACCATCGGGACTGTGGGCTGACAGCCATGAGATTCTGTGCAGTGGAGCTGAGTGCTTTGTGCAGATTCAGTTTAAATGTAGTGTAATATAATACAGAATAATACAATATAATAAAGTAATTAATCAAACTTCTGATGTCAATGGAGTCAGATGCATCACTTTCTCCCTGCTATGGGGGCCACCCTGTGTTTCCAATACTTTGCACCCATGAGTGCCACACATTCCCCCGCCCTGAGGCATTCCCAGCTGACCTCCCTGAAGACTCTGGTGAGCTGCTGGGAGCACTCCCCGTGGCGCAGGCTCATGTCCAGGGTGTAGGTGCTGACGGCCACGCAGCCGCCGGGCCGCAGCACGCGCTGAGCCTCGCGCGCGAAGCGCTCCAGGTGGAACCAGTGCGCGGCCGTGAACGAGGTCAGCACGTCCACGGAGCCGTCCTGGAACGGCAGCTCCTCCGCCGGGCACACGCTGCGGGAGAGGGGAGAAGCCACGGGGTGTTGGGAAGGATGGAAGTTTGACAAGCAAATCTCACACGTATGTGTGCTTAGCAGAAAGGTTTTTGGATGAAAGAATATGTGGTGGTGTTCACAGGGGTCTCAGGATGAGGGAAGAGATGAGAATGTTGACTCTATGTTTCAGAAGGCTGATTTATTATTTTATGATAGATATATTAAAACTATACTAAAATAATAGAGAAAGGATTTCATCAGAAGGCTAGCAAGGAATGAAGTGGAATGATAACAAAAGCTCATGAGAGTCTGAGAGAGCTGGACTGTGATTGGCCATTAATTAAAAACAACCACATGAGACCAATCACAGATCCACCTGTCGCATTCCAAGGCAGCAGATAATCATTGTGTACATTTTGTTTCTGAGGCTTCTCAGCTTCTCAGGAGAAAAATCCTAGCAAAAGGATTTTTCATAAAATACCATGGTTCCATCTTCATTCGTGTAGCTAAGTTTTGATATAGAAGGAAATAATTGCTGAGCCAGTCTTACTGGATAACCAAGGAGGCATGGGGTATATTAGTTAGAAGGGGTTTTTATGACTTAGAGCAAGAATCAATCCACCTCAAAGAAGATGTTTTTACCAAGCAGAAAGAGAGCACAAGCAAACAAGTCAGCAAATGTTGCAAGCAGAAAAAAGGTCTCAGAATTTTCCACTGCAAGAAAACTGAAAACCAACTTCTAGCTGAAACTGTAATGTACTGACTTTTAGTGATTGGAGAACAGTAACATGAATATGGTAATTATAGTAGTTATGATAGGCTATAGATAAGAATTAAGGTATAGATTGGTTCTACTGTATTAAGATGCTCAGCAAAGAAAAGTATATAATGCATTGTAACCAAAAGAAAAGTATATATTGCATTGTGACCAAAAGAAAAGTATAGAATGCACTGTAACCAAAACCAGGGGGTCTCCAGGCCTGCCTGCAGCTGGAGCTGACAGCTGTAGGCACTGGCTCTGTCACCCACAACCCTGGACTGCTGTAACCTCTTGGATATAATAAACTGCATTTTGGAGAGGCTGCCTGGAGTCCCACATCTCTCATTTCAGCTCTTACAATGTGGGATGGGGGACTTACAGAGCAGGACATGGAGCCAGAGGGTGTTTTTGGATGGTTTGGATGTAAGACCACAAAGTCTAGGATAATGCTTGTTTGCACCAGGAATTCCATCAAATGGAATCTCTGGTGCCAGCTGGCTCTTACAACAGTCAAACTCATGTCACCATGATATTTTCTGAGAAATCCCTTTGCCAGGATTTCTTCTCCTGGGAAGCTCAGAAGCTTCAGCTTCTCCCTGTTTTGCTGCATTGGAATGTGATTTGGAGATTGTTTATCCAGCATTTGAATTGTTTTAATTTAATGACCAATCACAGCCAGCTGTATCGAGGCACTGAGGAATCACAGGTTTTTCTTTATCATTCTTGCTAAGCCTTCTGTGTATCCTTTCTCTTTCTTTAATATAGTTTTAGTATAGCATTCTTTAATATAATATCATAAAATAATAACTCAGCCTTCTGAGAACTTGGAATCAGATTCTCATCTCTCACCTTGTCCTGGGGACCTCACAAACACCACATGCTCACAGACCACCCCCTTCACGTGAGGACCTGAACTGTGCCTTTGGCCGAGCGTGCTGTCCTGACACTCACAGGTAGGAGATGTTGGGCATGCAGGGGGTGGCCTTGGCCTCCTGGATCTGTGCTTCACTGATGTCCGTGCCCACCACCTTCTTGAAGTGCTCCCCAAGGAAGTGGGTGCCTTGTCCAGAGCCACAGCCAACATCCACTGCCAGCTCCGCAGGGATGGCTTTCTGCAGGAAGGAGTGCACGTGTCTCAGTGGGCAGCCACCCAATTCCTGTGCTTTCACCCCATTCCTTCCCCCAGCACCCACTCAGGAACAGCCTTGGCGTGGCAGAACCTGTAGAAAGCCTCTTCTGTGCCCCCATCTGGCCATGAGCCCTGCTGCTTTATCTTTCCCTGAGGCACCAACCAAGGTGACACTCCCAGCAAGGTAAACACTGCCAGCCACAATTGAATACTCATTGGATTTTTCCCCACCCACAATTAAATACTCCTTGGATTTTTTCCTCCAGCCTGGCCCTGCCCCGCTCACCTTTTCCCGCAGGTAGGAGAGGATGGTCTGCTGCAGCTCTTTGCCCGGGGCAAACCTGTATTTCTGGTAGATGGCCGCATGCCCTCTGCCCTCGAACATCTGGGTGGCCATGCTTGGTGACCTGGCACCTGGAGGAGGCAGCAAGATGTGATTCCCGGGGATGTCACACGGGGCCAAACTCCTACTGCCTCCCTAACCTGGGACCGCAGGCACTGAAGCCTCCGGCTCTCGGCGCGGCCACAGAGAGGACTTTGCCCGGGAGGCTCCAGCAAGGGAGCGTGAACCTGCTCTCCAGGAATCCCTCCCACAGCCCTAAGCTCATCACAGGAGCAAACCAGCGGCGTCCGACAGGAAAAGCTTTCCAGGTTTTTACACACCCCCTAAGGGGTGTGAAACTCCTTTGTTTTCCCCACCCACCCGGCTGTTTCCTCAAATAATTCACTGAGCAGTGAAGCAGGGAAACTACCAGGAAAACATGGGGACTTTTGCTGGCTGGATTTTTTTAAAAGGAAATCCATTTTCTCGTATTAGCAACACAATCACAACTCAACCTTACGCTTTCCCAACCACCTGCTGCTTTTTGCCCCTTCCCGTCCAGCAGCCAAAGGCTTTTAGGGCACTGAACCCATCACCACGCGTGGAGGCGAGCGGGGCCCTTCGGCCTGGGCACAGCTCAGCCAGGGGAGCCGGGGGGAGATGACACTCGGGGAGGGCCGGGGGAGCTGCCCAGTCCCCGCCGGGGCCCCGTGTGGCCCCGGTTCCCGCAGCCCCTGCTCTGTCCCCCTCAGCCCGGGCCCGTCGCGCCGCCCCGGAAGGCTCCCGGCCGTATCCTGTTCGTGGCGCTGCCCGAGCAGGCGCGGTCCGAAGCAGCGGCAGCTCCCGGGGCTCGGCCCCGAGCCCAGGCACTGCCAGGAGAGCTCCGTGCCCCTTTTGCCGAGGAAGGATGTGCCCGCGGTGGGTTTACGGAGCGATACGGAAATGCATCGGGAGATGATGGAGGGTTGTTCTGCCTCCGTGCAGGAAGAGATGCTGCGGCAGCTCGGGGCTGGAGCGCCTAGCCGGGAACAGCAGCGCTGCCAAAGCGCTCTCTGCTGCAGGGATCCTTCCGAGCCTTCTCCCCGCACCATTCCCGCTCCTTCCTTACCGGGCAGCCCCCGCAGCAGCCGCTCCCAGTCTGGAGCCGCGGGGCCGGGACCAGGGAAGGCGAGGGATGGCCCCGGCACCGCCCCCGGTGCCGCCCGCCCGGGGCTCCCCTGCCCAGTGAATTCCAGGGGGCAGCTTCTGGGGGCTCCGAGATTCTGGAGCCGCACACGCAGCTCTGTGGTTGCTGATCACGTAGTTACAGCTTTCAAAATGCCCACGGATCCCGGGAATGCTCAAGCAGCCTCCACATCTCGGGAAGCAGATGCAGAGCCCAGCAGATGCTGCAAGGTAGCAGAACAGGATTCAAATGCTGCAGGCAGCCAAAGCCGTACCTACAGACCTCTGTCTGCGCTGGAGTCCCCTCCTGGTGTCCAGCAGAAAGAGAAAATACAGCAAAAGCCCCCAACAGCAGCACTTGAAGAGCTTAGAATGTTGGGATTTCAGACGTAGGCAGTTTTCCCTGATTTGGGGCAGGATTTTACCCCTTCCTCACGAGAGTAATGTTAACTCTGTGCAGCTGAGACCAACGGAGCCGTGGTTTGCTGGAAGCACAGTCCCTTCAGTTTGTACTTTGCATAGCAGTCATGGGTCCATGCTAATTAGCACAGCCTTTAAGCCACTCCTAATTTTAAGAGAAATCAGTGAACTTACTCAAGGACTGAAGACAGAGGCTGGCTTGAAGCAGTTTGCTAAATCAAAGCATGGGTTGGAGTTCTGGGCTTGTGTCCCAAATATTTTATTTGAGCCACCTGGTGCTTAATCATGCAAGGGTGGCACCTGCAGCAAGAGAAAACACCACACAATCACCAAAGGGCCCTGTGTTTTCACAGCCTGGCTCTCTGGGGTTTGGACACCCCATTTTGCCTGGATTTTGCTGAGAGCACCATTGCAGACAGGGGGGAGTGATGTCCCTGAGGCACCTGCCCAGTTCCAAACCCCACAGTTCCTGGGCAATGCACAGGTGATGTTTAATTGGGCTACAGCTGACACCAGCCACCTGCAGGAAAACAAACACCAGTCAGGCATGGGCTGCAAATGGCACCAGGCCTTTCCTGAGCTCTCCCAAATTTGGCACACTGGATTCTGCTGCCTTTGGCTCTCTCCTCCATCCCTACTGTGCTCCCCAAGGGACTGCTACTCTCTGATGGCCCTGCACCATGCAGAAATAAATTGGTCTCCTCAAGATTTGGGTTGCTGAGCCTTAGGCCAAATGTGGGTTTAAACACCAGGCACAGAGAATCAGACACTATCCATCATCCCTGCCTGCCCACTTATTAAATCCAAATAATGGAATGCTAAAGTGCCCTGGGGTCTTCCCAACTTGCTCCCCAAACCTTCAGACCCTGTGGATTTTAATTATTAAGCAAGGTCCTGGATTAATAGACCTTCACTGGGAATGCATCTCACTCTGAAATCTATTAAAACTGAAAAAATGAATTAATCTATTTTAGGTGACAAAAAGGCCAAAGGATGCTCCTGTCAGTCCTCCTGTGTCCAGTGGTATTTTTTTTCCAACAGGTTTAACTGTGGATAGATTGCTTGGAGCTAAAGGAAGAGGAGGCCAACAGCACCATTACCCTGCTGCATTTAATTTACAAATCTAATTGTGTTAATTTTCATTTCAACTTTAATTGACTAAGAAGCTTTTTGCTGGACCACACAAGAGGGAGGATGCCCACAGGGCTGTGTGGGCTGGGGTCCCCCTCCCCATCCCCAGGATCCCCTGAAGAAGTCAGGGATATGTCTCCTACTTTGTGGAAAACTTGGTTTGATTTTAAGATCCCAGTAAGGCTTCAGCTGTCATGGGACTCTCCCCTGTTTGTTTGTTCTCTGATGGAAAAGGAGCAAGATTTATTATCACAACAAGGAATAAAGGGATTGGAAAACAGTTGGTATTTCTTCAAGGGACTTTTCAAACCTAGAGGGCTCAGACTTTAAGTTTGTGAAGAATATAATTCTCTTGTCTTAAAAGAGTGGGGTATGGATAAAGTTCCTTGTAGGGAAGAGATTTATCCACAAACCAGAGATGTCACTGTTGATGTGTTAGAGTTGTGCCTCAAGCTGGCATTAGGGCTATCTATCCCTGCCTGCTCCTGGGCATTTGCAATCCAGGATAAATCAGTGTTTGTGTCAAAAGAAAGCCCAGATGAACAAGAGACCAGACAGGGGAGGGAGAAGGGAATTCCCACAGCAGTGACTGTTTTAGGGAAGTGCATCCCTGCCCCTGCAATTCCCGGATCCTTGCAATGGCAGCAGCAGTGGCTGGTGATGTGCTGGTGATTGCTGTGCTCCAGCACACAAAGGGCTGGAGGGGAAGGAAAGGCAGGCAGGACATGCTCAAGGGCAGAGGAGGAAGCCTGCAGAGGAGAGAGCCCTTGGCTTTGCAATCCTGCCTCACCCTCAGCTCATCCGGCCAGAAATCCTTCCTGTGGAATGACTGATGAGCAGCACTGGGGCTGAGAGCAAAGCCCAGCACTGGGGGCTGCAGAAACAACAGCAGCAAGTCCTTCTCCCTTCACTTCACCTTTTAATTAAGGAAGCTGGGAAATCTGGTGGTGGAGCCAGTGAATTAAATGAAATTTAGAAGTCACCTGAGAATCTGTGTCTGAGCAACCTGAGATATCCCGTTCCCCATGCAGGGGCCAGATCCACTGCTGATGAATTAACAATTCTGGATAAAAGGAGGGAGAGAAATGTGAGCTCAAAATGATCTTATTTCACCTCTCCTTGCATGCACTCTCTGGGCATGAGGATGTAGTGGCTGATATTATTATATCTGCTGGCACAAGCAAAAAGTCCGGTGGCGTCAGGAAGCTGCTGTACTAAAATTAAATAACTCTTGGGGATGTGCATGCCCAAACCAGACTCAGAGCAATTGCTCTGGGTCTGGCTGATGCCTGATGGGCTGCTCTGAAATTGCAAACTAATTTGTGGCAATTAAACAAGATTCAGGACCATCTTAATTCAGAGTTTAAGCTTTTCCTTCTTGGGGTCCCAGCCAGGCATGTGATAGACAGTGAAAGGAATGAGAAGGGGGTGTCTTTACAAACTGTGGGCCTGATGGTGGGTGAGGCCAGATAGGGAGAGGTGAAAGAAGCAATGGGGGGAAAATATATACATAAATTCCATAGGAATTCCACTAATTGACACAGACTGTTACTCACTCAAAACTGTGCTAAATATTTGGATTTAGAGAAAAAGAACAGAGACACAAAGAAAAGTGGGGTATACATTAGAAAGGGCCTTCGGTATCAGGCATTTCAGGAAATCTGTACCTCTCAAGTACCTCAGCCAACAGGCAAAGAGAGAGGGAAATGTGGCTGGGAAATTAGGATAAAAAGGAGGCTGTGTGCTCCAAAAATTGGAGACCCCAGGGGAAATACCCCATGGCCTCTCCCTTTATTTGAATTAAGTTACAGGATTCCTCTGTCTCCTTTTTGGACAGAAACCTCTGGTGTTTGTGGATTAATTTTCCTAACAATAGGGAGAAAAAAAAGGGATAAGGAAGCAATATTTTAGGATCTTCTTTCTCAAAAGCCCCTGCACCAGGAGACAGCTGAATCCACCCCTTGCTGCCCATTTCCCATTGCAGCTCCCAGGATCACAGCCCTGTGTCCCAAAAGCCAGGTGGGAACAGGACTGGAAGTGTAGTGGTGCAGAGGGTTGGAAAAGGGGGATTTTTGGGTTCTGTGCTCTGATTTTTTCCGTGCTGTGATGACCAGTGATGGTCTGTCCCAGTGGGGGCACGAGGGCTGGAGGCTGCAAATGCACCATGGCATTGAGGAGGGTGCAGGAGGGCACAGAAGGGTGTGAGACAGTGCAGCAGGGTGAGGAAGGGTGTGTGAAGATGCAGGAGGATGTAGGATGTGCAGGGGGATGCAGTAGGATGGAGGAGGGTGTGTGAGGATGCAGAAGGGCAGGGAAAGATGCTGCAGAGGACAAGAGGGTACAGAAGGATTTGGAGGGGTGTAGAAGGGCGCTTCAGGATGCAGGAGAGTGCAGGGGAGAGCTGGGGGTTGCAGGAGGATGCAGGAGGATTGCAGAGGAGTGCAGGAGGATGATGCAGGACAGTGCAGAAGGGTGCAGGAGGAAGATGCCGGAGGGCGGTTCAAGGAGGATGCAGAAGGAGGCAGCATCTCCGTCCTTGAGCTGCCGCAGCGGCCGCCGCTCCGGCGGGGCCGTGCCGGGCGGGGCAGGGCAGAGCCGGGCGAGGCAGGGCAGGACCGAGCCGTGCCGTGCCGGGCGGGGCAGGGCAGAGCCGGGCGGGGCAGGGCAGAGCCGGGCAGGGCAGGACCGAGCCGTGCCGGGCGGGGCAGGGCAGAGCCGGGCAAGGCAGGGCAGGCAGCGGGGGCGGTGCGGAGCCCGGCCCGGCCCCGGCGGGGCGGGGGCAGGGGACGGCCGTGGGGCCGGCCCGCCCTGCCGTGCCCTGCCCGGCTCTTCGGCGGCGCCGATGGGGCTGCGGGCCTGGCTGCGATCGCTCGGCTGCTGCGGCTGCTGCGGCGGGGAGGCGGCGGCGCCCGAGAAGGAGCCCCTGATCAGGTGAGACCCTGCTCAGGTGAGACCCGGCCCGGTATGCGCCCACCCAGAGCCTTGCCCCCGCTGTCCCCTG